TTAGCTTGGAGTATTGTCTTCCATCCTTTCACTCTGAGCCTGTGTTTGTCTTTAGAGCTGAGATGTGTTTCCTGGAGGCATCATATTGTTGGGCTTTGCTTTTTAATCCATCCCGCCACTCTGTGTCTTTTGATTGGAGAATTCAGTCCATTTACATTTACAATGATTATTGATATATGAGGGCTTGATGTTGCTATTTTATCGCTTATTTTCCAGTTCTTTTGCATTTCTTTGTTTCTCGTCCCGTGTGTTTCCGACTGCCAATTCAGTTTGATAGTTCTGTATGATGACTCTTTTAGTTTACTCTTTATTTATCATATGTGATTCTGTTCTGATTGTTTGTTTAGTGATTACCTTGAAGTTTGTGTAAAAAATCTCGTGGATGAGATAGTCCATTATCTGATGACCTCTTATTTCCTTAGACTAAGTCGATTCGATCCCTTTCCTCTTCCCCTTCTAAGTTGTTATTGTCGCAAGTTATTCCATCTGTGTTGTGAGTGTGTGTTTAAAGTGATGAGGTTATATTTATTTTTAGTGTTTTCCTTCCCCTGATCTTTGATTTTGGTATTTAAGTGTTTGCTAACCTATTCTGATAGAGAGCTACTACTTTTCTGATTTTGTCTACCTATTTTTCTCCTTGCTTGAAGCTTTGTATCCCCTCTCTCTTTTTTTTTCAGGCATGAGGGCCTTCTTGAGCATTTCTTGTAGTGCGGGGTCTCATGGCCATGAACTCCCTTAGCTTTTGTTTATCTGGGAAAGTTATTATTTCCCCATCGTATTTGAAGGATATATTTGCTGGATAGAGTATTCTTGGCTGAAAGTTGTTGTCTTTCAGAATTTTGAATATATCATTCCAGTCTCTCCTAGCCTAAAGTTTCTGTTGAGAAATCTGCTGAGAGCCTGATGGGAATTCCTTTGTACGTTATTTTTTGTTTTTGTCTGGCTGCCCTTAATATTGTTTCTTTGTCATTGACTTTTGCTAGCTTTACTAAAATATGCCTTGGAGAGGGCCCTTTCCTGTTGATATATTTAGGCAATCTGTTGGCTTCATTTACTGGCATTTCCAGCTCCTTCCCCAGATTTGGGAAGTTCTCAGCTATTATTTCCTTTAATAAGCTGTCTGTTCCTTTTTCCTTCTCTTCTCCCTCAGGATTACCTATAATCCTTATGTTACATTTCCTAATTGAGTTGGATATTTCTTGGGGAATTTCTTCATTTCTTTTTACTTTTAGTTCTCTCTCCTCCTCTATCTGGAGCATTTCTGCATTCCTATCTTCAATAATGCTAATTCTTTCCTCCATATTGTCAGCTCTGTTCTTTAAAGATTCCAGATTTTCCTTTATCTCCTCCATTGTGTTTTTATCTCCAACAATACTGATTGGTTTTTCTTTGTGGTTTCAGTCTCTTTTGTGAAGAAATTCCTGATATCATTGAATTGTTTATCTGTTTTCTTGTAATTTGTTGAGCTTTTTTATGATAGCTACTTTGAATTCTCTGTCATTTAGGTTATAAATTTCTGTGTCTTCAGGGTTGATTTCTGGGTGCTTGTCATTTTCCTTCTGGTCTGGAGATTTAATGTATTTTTGCATCATACCTGCTGGAGTTGACTTATTTTCCTCATCCCAACAATATCTGGTTGCAGTTTCCACCTACCACCACTGGGTGGGGTCAAGGGCTGTGTATTCTGAGCCCACTGCACTCTGTGAGCACTCCGACCAACTGGCTGAGCTGAAGTGCTGTGCATGGGGGGCGGCGGGGGGTGGGGGCTGTCTCTTTTGCCTGCCCAATCCCTGGGGGCTTCTCGTTCTTCCCTTGCCATCTGCTCTCCTGGGGTGCTCAGATGTTGATGGCACGCCTGCAACACTTCAGACTCCTCCATGTGGGAGTTTCCCACAGGCTGTGAGAGAACTTGGAGAGCGACGGTTTTCCCACAGAGGGCTGTCCCTCCCCTCTCTCTCTGGGAGCCACATGGACCTGGAGTCACCAATCAGATGGGGAGGGAGAGGATTTCTCCTTACCTCTCCCCACTTCCTCTGGGGGCTCCAGCAGGTCCACTCTCAGATGCACGGCTGCGTGGGTCTCTCAGATGTCCTTTTGTGTTGTGTGAGTTTCCTTTGTTGGTATGTGAGTGTTGTTTTTGCTGTATCTTATCTGGGGAGAGTTTATGGGAAAGCTCACTCCGCCATGATGCTCTCTTAACTTAAAAGCCATTAATCCTTCCAAAAATATATTTGCAACAGTTTCATAGGACGGAACAAATTTATTGGTGCTTATTTCTTGTGCCTTTTCTCTTTATCCGCTCTTTCCCCTTCTGTTGCTTCCAACCTTCTCCTTCATTCTGTTTTTCTTTTTCCCTCTTGTTTTTCTGGTTTTTGTTCTCTACCCATTCTTTTTTTTTTTTGGTGAGGAAAATTAGCCCTGAGCTAACATCTGTTGCCAATCCTCC